CTCCCTTTACTTGGCCTCTGTGCACCCCGGGCTGCCTGTCTCCCCAGTTCATCCCTGATTTGGGTCCCTCAGCCAGGAAGGACTTCCAGGAGACTGGAAGAGGCATGAAATCTGGCTCTTCCTTAAGAGATCACCGGGAAACAGCCCCCTCCCCCTCCCTTCCTGCCCCCCAGGTGTCCTAGTTAGAAACCTGCAGGAGAGTTGGAGACCAAAGCCAAGGAGCTGGGCCTGGCGGTGCACATCTGTCATCCTAGCACTCAGGAGGCTGAGGCAGGAGGATCGCTGAGCTCCAGGCCAGCCTGAATAGCACAGCAAGACTCTGTCTCAAAAAAGACCAAAAATTCTTTTGAACCTTCAGGTGCCTGTACTGGTCTCTCCTTGTCCCACCCATGTGACGGGGCCGGGATTAGCATTCTGCTCCAGTACACCACAGCTCCCACGCCCAAGGGCTGAAACGGTGGCTTTCCATAAGCTGGCTGCAGGCACCTGTCACTAGAAGTGGAAGTGGAAAAGACAGACTGCGTCTTGTTAAAAGACCAGCAGGTGATAAATTTCTCCAGACAAAACTCAGCTTCCAAATCAGGGTTCAAGAGAGCGATTCGCATCTTCTGAGCTTCCGGATTCTGGTCCCTGTGACCTGCTCGGTGACCTCTGCTGCCGACTCCCCTGTCTACACTTGCACTTGGGGAGTCCGGATGCCCTTGGAGGTGACTGGCAGGTGTGATGTCCCTGCGCTGTGTCGGGGACAGGCTGCTGCTGTGGGAAGAATCAAAGCCGTGAATCTTCATGCTCCATCTTTAGGAAATCCAAATCCCCTGCTCCTGGAGATTTCCACATCAGCTCTTTATAGGAAGTCAGGCAGGGGCCGGGCGTTTAGCTCAGCGGCATAAGCGCCTGCCTGGCAAGCACGAGGTTGTGAGTTGGATCCCCAGCACCAAAAAAAAAAAAAAAGAAAGAAAGAAAGAAAGAAGAGGCTGAGGCAGGAGGATCACCATGAGTTCGAGACCAGTTTAGGTTACTTAGTGAGTCCAAGGCCAGCCTGAACTATATAACAAGATCCTGTCTCAAAATAATGTAATAATAATAATAATCGGATGAACGCAATCACACCCTTATTCTGCTGCTTTTCTTTCTCTGAAATCTCACCCCTGTACTAGTCATGAGGAAGACAGACGGCTGTACAGCCCCGCCCCCCCATGGCGAGTGCAGGTAAACATGTGTCCAGAAAGCCCATGATAAATGAGTCAATTTGTTTATCCAAAGGATATTCATTAAGGATGTTCAAGGGCATTCACAGTAGGTCTCTCCATGCTAGGGAAAAACAGAAACAACTCCAAAGTCCACTACCAGAAGATGGGTAAACAACTGTGGTACGCCCATATAGCAGAGTAGTACACAGCAATGAAAAACAATTCCCTGCTAACTTCCACGACCTGTGTGAAACTCATAGACATTTTGTTAAGTGAAAGCAACCAGACTCCAGGGCTGGGGATTTAGCTCAGCAGCATAAGCGCCTACCTTGCAAGTACGTGGTTGTGAGTTCAATCCCCAGTACTAAAAAAAAGAAAAAAAAAAAACCAGACTCCCGAAGAGTGTGCCCTGGGTAACTCTATCTACTTGCTGTTTAAAGGCAGGCAAGATAAGTTAATGTCCGTAAAAATCAAAATCACCATTACCCCCCGGAAAAGGGGAGAGGCATAGTTAGGGTGAAGGGAATATTCAGCATCTTGTTTAGAATTGTGGTTACGTGGTGTAAATATTCATCAAGCCAGCATTTAAAATTAATACGCAGCTAAGTCTGGTGGTGCACACTTGTCACCCCAGCACTCAGGAGGCTGAGGCAGGAAGATCACTGCAAATTCAAGGCCCAGCTGGGCTACAAAATGAATTCAAGGCCAACCAGAACTTTATTTATTTTTTATTTTTTTGTGGTACTGAGGACTGAACTCACAATCTCACGCCTGCCAGGCAGGAGCTTATGCTACTGAGCTAAATCCCCAGGCCCAGATGCAGCTGTGGAGGAGGGATATAGCTCAGTGGCATAGCACTTGCCTGGAAGCCCTGAAGTCCTGAGTTCAATGCTTATTACAAAAAAAAAAAAATTGCAGCTGGACATGTGGGTGCACATCTGTAATCCCAGCGCTCAGGGAGGCTGAGGCAGGAGGATTGCTGGGAGTTCCAGGCCAGCTTAGGCTACATAGTGAGTTCAAGGTCAGCCTGAACTACACAGTAAGACTTTCTCAAAAAACAAAAAATTAAAATTAAAAAACACAGCCAGGAATTTAGCTCAGCAACATAAGTGCCCGCCTGGAAAGCATAAGGTCCTGAGTTCAATAACCGGTACAAAAAAAAAAAAAAAAAGAAAGGAAAAAAAAACCAATATGCATTACTGAATATATGTTAAACCTCAGAAAAAGGAGGAAACACTCTTGTTTTTTAATAAAATAGCACAAAGCAGAGAGTACACATCTGTAAACCCAGCTCCTCTGCTGAGGTGAGAGACCAGCCTGGGCAAGACAGTCAAACCATGTCTGCAAACCAAAACAAAACAGAAAAATGCTTATGGTATATTTTTTTCCACTGGAAAGATTTCTCTGATGTCTTTCTTCATACAATATCAAAACCCCAACTTTGTCCTAATTTTCGATGAAAAGGAATGAGATGATAACTTAAAAACAACAAAAAAAGTTGGGGCTGGGGATTTAGCTCAGCGGCACAAGCGCCTGCCTTGCAAGTGTGTGGTCGTGAGTTCAATCCCTGGTACCGATAAAAACTAAAAAGACAAAAAAAGAGTTTTAAATAAAACTGGGTGTGGTAGCACATCCCTGTAATCCTAGCTGCTGGGGAGGCTGAGGCAGGAGGATCACAAATTTGAGCCCCGTCAGGCAATTTAGTGAGACCTGGTCCAAAAATGAAAAGGACTTGGGTCTCTACGGGAGAGTCCTTCCTCAGCACGGGTGAGGCCCACATCCAGTCTGCAGTTCCATGAGACAAAAAGTTCCCAGTAAACAGACTCTGAGTGGTTTTAGCAGTCTCCCATCTGAAGCATAAAATCAGAATTTTTCCCTCCATTTTCTCAGCATTTCCAGGAAAGACCCCAGTAGAGGCCACTGCACCCCTCCTACTCCTTGGTCTCCTCCTTGTCACCGGGACAACAGCTGTCCCTGCCCCAGACCTCCAATTCCTGCCTGACATTTTTTTCAAGTGAAAAGAGACTGAAAAACAAAAACCAAAAATAAACCGACTGCATTTCTGACAAACTGGCAATTTGTAGATTACACACCCAGCAGCCCACCTTTGTTTTGCGTGACAATCTGAGGCCAGCGAGCTCTGTCCCTCTGCCTTTAGCTCTCTGTGTCACCCTCTTCTGCCCCCTCTCCTTGGGTTCCTTTCCGGCGGCCAGGAATTCTAAGTCCTAGGAGCTCAACTGCCACAGAAAAGAGGTGGGGAAGAAGGGCCAAACTCTGTCCCTTCACTGTCAAATATTTACTTTCGGTAAATATTTTGGTCTCCACAACCAAAGATTGAAACCCCAGCCAGGGGTAAACTGCTCTGTCTGATGGGTCTCCTTCCTCTACTGAGTTCCTGCTTTGCCCCTCTGTGGACACAGACCCTGGCTTTGGGGCCAGGAAGAGCCTTAAACCCGGAGAGACAAACGCACCAGTCTTAGAAGTTCAGCGGAATGAATTTTTACACACACATCAAAGTTAGTACTTTGGTCAAAACACGGGACATTTCAAATACCTAAGCTTTCTTTTTTGTTATTGTTCTTCTCTCCCCGTAAATACTGAGAAGAGGAATTTTTAATCTAGTAATTTTTAAGTGTTCCAGAGGGACTGTTCTCATCTGCCTGCCAAACATACAGGACATAACGATTTCCTTCTTACGGACCATTTTTTAAAGTAACCATGGAAACCATCTAAGTGACCAATAATTAAATGATGGATTGGAGCCCGAGCATTCATGAAAACCCTGCTTCTGACAAATCTCTTAGGCCACTGGAAAATGTTCAAAGTCCAGCATTCCAAGATACCAAAAAATAAGTGAAGCTCATGCAGAATTTCAATTTTGAAATTACACACATGCATAAGGTTAAAGAACTGACTAAAATATAACAAAAGGTTAGCTTCGGTAAACTCTCAGGGCAGCGCTGAGGTTTTATTTCCTTCTTTGTGGGTTTTTAATACTTTTGAAATTCCTGACCATGAGAATGTACTACGTTTGCAATCATGCAAAGAAATGTTTTCTTTATAAATTCTGGGAAAACACAAACGACCAACATTAGTGAAATCCTTTCTAAATGTCTAACAACTCCGTATTAGTTTTTGTTTGTTTGTGTTTTGTATGGGGATCAAACTCACAACCTCCCACTTGCCAGGCAGGCGCCTGTGCTGCTGAGCTAAATCCTAGCACCCAACAACCCCACATCAAGCCACTTAGAAGACTAAGATAATTTAGGAGGCCACTAATGACCTCCATAAATGAGTAGCAAAAATTCGCTAAGGACAGCGGTTTCAAGCTGTGAAACGCAGGCAGTGAAAACAAAGGAAAAAATTCTTAAAACCTTTATGGAAAGGTTTCAAAGCATGTGTACGTTTGAGGCTGTATATATATACATTTCCCCACCACCACTCTGGGTAGCTGTTCTTTTGATTCGAATTTCCTTTTTTACATTGAGCTTTTGTTTTCCTAAGGGGCGAGAATGTTGGGAAATTTTATTTTAATGTTCGTAGCCTGAAGCTTTGGGGAAGCAGTGTAGACGTGCCCTCGGCTACCCTGAATCAGATCCCGAAGAAACCGTTGAGTCTAAACTGCAAAATTCTTAACTCGCAGAAGCCAAATAAAACTACCCAGGAGCCAAGACAGGGCTGGGACCAAGAGACCTTTCTTTGCATTTATTTAAAAACAAATAAAAAGTGTAGTTTCCGTGTCGAATTCGCTCTCCTCTGCAGAACTGGGGAGAGGGATGGGGCAGTGTGACCCTCAAACAGTAAGCTGACCCTGCAAAGTCCTCGCGGCTTCCCTGCGAGCCCTGCGACGTCCCCAGAGCCCAACCCTCCCGGTCCACAGGGGCTGGGGCCAGACGCGGACCGGCCAGTGAACTTGACCAGGCGCTCAGGCCTCTCCCCCAATGGTCAGGAAAAGGGGGCGCCTTTGCAAGAATTCCTTCCAAGGCCGGGGAGCCCGCGATCTAAATCGGGGAGGGGGAGAAGGAGACCACCGAGGCTTTGGATCCAAACGGTCCCAGCGGAACCTGGAGACGGGAGGACCTGCCAGGCCGCTGGGGTCAGCCCCGCTCCTCTCCGGCCCCAAACGAGAAGCCGGAGCTTTGCGTTGGCTGCTCGCCGGAATGTGGCGTCTCCTCGGCTGGTCGCTGAGCTTGGGGGACCTGGAAGGGGCCTGCGCCACCTAAGAACCCCAGGGAGCCCCGCGCCTCCCGCCCGCCCAGCGCGCCTCATTTCCCTTCGATCAGAAGGACGGGGGGGGGGGCCTCTCCTGCTCCACGATCGCGAATTATGAAAACAAAATTAAAACCATGCAAGACAAAACCAGACAACAAGGAGTACGTTCTCCGCGCGCTGCGCCCCCCCCCCACCCGGCCCCTGCGCGCTGCCGCCGCGGGCGAAGGTGCGCGATTCCCGGTGCGGCGGCGGCCCAGGCCTCGCCCCCTCTCGCGGGGCCCCGGGGACGCCCCGCCGGCCACAGTCACGTTTGCGGATGCAGCCCAGAGCCCCAGGCCCTGCCCAGCTCCGGAGGCAGCCGGCGCCCCAGAAGCGTGCAGCTGCGCAGGGGCTGCCCGCGCCCCAGCCGGTGGGGGACTTGGTCACCCCCTTGCTGAGCCCGAGAACCGCCAGCTTTGGCCGGTGTGCTTTGTTATATATATACATAAATTTTTTTAAAGCAGGACTACAGCAAGGAATTTAATGCCTGTGTAACGGGTAAACGGAACTGGGACAGAAAGCGAAACTTTTCTCTAGGCAGAACTTGGGTGTCACCATGCACCAACTCGCCGCGTGGCCTACATCGACTTTTAATTTTTTGCTAATTTTTGGCAATGGTGAGGATCGAATCCTAACTCAGGGCCTCCAAAATATTAGGCAAGCGGTCTACCACTGAGCTACACCCCCAACTCCAACAACGGGGAACTAGACGCGGAGCCGGAAGGGACAGATCAGAAGCCCGTGGACGCAGCCAGGCAGGCTTGGGTGGAGAGGCCCGGCCCCCGGGCTCCCGGCTCCTCCGCAGCCCTCTCCGCCCCCTTCCCCGCGTCCCTCCCGGAGGGGCCAAGGAATGTTTACATCCTGACTCAAGTTCAATGACAAAACCGTGCACGGAAGGGGAGGGCGGCGAGCTCCAACCAGCACACATAGGCGGGCGGCGCTGGTGACCGGCTGGGCCCAGCCCCAGCTGGGGAGCTGAGGGCCCCCGGGATGGGTGTGGAGCCCTCCGTCCGAAAGCTGCACCCCTTGCCTGTGCCTTGCCCACGCTGGCCTGGTGGAGGCAACGAGATCTGAGTCCGATCGCACCAAGGATATCTGATGGGGCCCAGAAGCCGTGAGAAGTCCGGCCTGTTACCCACTAGCCGAGCCAGGAGGCAAACGATTCCCTCCCCAGACCTGAGCTTCCCGGCCTCCTCCCCATCTTCCCTCTGCTCCCGGATTTGATATTCTGAGATCTTTCCGGGTGTTTCGCCAACGTCCCGGACCCCAGCCTGTGTGACTTTTTCTGGCTCCTGTTCCCTGTTTATCCCGATGGTAACCGTTCGCAAAGGCATCGCCTCGCCTGGCCAGAACACACACAGGTCGGGACTCAGACCAAAGACCTGGCAGCAGTGAACCCAGGCAAGCTGCATCCCGGCAGTCCCCTGTCTCTTCTCCTGGGCTCAGCCCGCACTTGAAAAATGAGCAACTGATGGAACCGTCTCCTTGTGTGTGCTCTAGAATAATCTGTCCAGTGTTCGAGCCCCAAGACGGGGCTGAGTCTAAGACATGGGAGCTTAGCTAGCCAGACCCAGGTGGAAGCAGGTGTTTGTCAAAGTCAGGGAGGTACCCAGTGAAGAGCAGGGAGCAGGGTAAACTGGGCTTCCCAGTCTACTGGCTGCTGGAGATGGGGGACAGAGATTAAGCTGTCCTTTGTGACCCAGGGTTTGCCACTGTGATACCCACCAAGTAACTTGCCCTCTTGGCCTTAATTTCTGTGGGCAGCAACTCTGAGGGCTAGTGGGAGGGGAGAGGCTGGCTGGGTGCGGGGAGTTGGGTCCTGGCTGCGGTGGTGGCCAAGGAGAGGGACACGTGGCCCCACAATGCCACTGTGCTGGCCCAGGGCCCCTGCCATGCTTGTGCCATGGTGGATGGATATCTCTTCCGATTCTCTTCAGATCCCCAAGTCCTCCAGGACTGGGGGACACGGAGGTGAGACCAAGAAGATAAGGGGGCAGATTGTTTTTAAGAAGCCAGAATATTTTCCTTCTGGAAGTCAGTAAACCATTGTCCTCACGGTTAACTCACCCAGTTTTTTCAAAAGATATGTTTTTTTAAGTGTTACAGTTTTAAATAAAAATAACATTAGCAATATTTTTGTACAGAGACTGCATCCAGTTGAAGACAAAAAGTTACATGGGGGGTGGCTTATTGGTCACCTCGGCTGCCTGTCCCTTGCCAACACCACGCCTGTCCCGCATGCTTCGAAGTCTTTTCTTTGTTCCTATACGCCCGGGATTGACACTTGCCAGCAACCAAGAGGAGGTGCCCAGCCAGGTGGAGACCTTGAATTCCCCGAGTTCTTGGGAGACCCCCTTCCGGAGGCTCCTGAGGCTCCCCCAGACAGCACTTGAGACCCTCCTGGCGCGGGGTCAGCTAGTTTACCTCATCAGAGAGCAACGCACGCCTGCAGGCAGTAAACCGGCCGGTGCCTGGTTGGAGCAGTGGGCCAGCTCAATGCAAAAGCCGAGACCAGAATCCAGCTGGCGCCTAGGCCCAGGAGCCGCAGGCATCCGGCAACCGGGCCCGGCGAGGATGCAGCACAGCGCGGCGCGGGGTCCGGAGCGGGCTCGGCGCGCCTGCTGCTCCGGTGTTTCCGAGCGCAGTCCGAGGCCTCCCCGCCGTCCTGCAGCGGGTCTCCCGGTGGCTCCGGCCCTTCCCCGCCGCTGGGCCTCCTCGGTCCTTCCCGAGGCCGGAGAAGTCCCCTCGCCCCGTCACCTTTCTCCACCTTCCCCGTAAAGCCTGGGCCGAGTGGGGGCGGGGTGGTGGAGACCACCCGCCGGGTCTCCAAGTTCACCGGCGAAGCGCTGCCCCTCCCCCGGCCCGGGGCGCCGGCGCTCTGGGCCTTCCCTCCCCACCCTTCTCCGGACGGTTGCATTCTTGTGCAGCCCTCTGTCACCTTCCCATTTGGGGAGCAATCCAGGGGCGGGGAGGGGGTCCCGACGCATTCTTCCTTCCGTCCCCTCCTCCCGCCCCCGTGTCCCCCACCTCTGCACGGAGCGCGCTGGGGATCGGTCCCCATTGGATGTTTCAAAACTGCCTCCAGGCGCGCCGAGGGAGGGGCCAGGCATCGGCCGGGGACCCCAGGACCCCAGCGGCTCTGGCGCTTTCCGATGGGTGAGAATAGATACAAACATTGGCCCCTTCTACAGGCGGTCGCCTCCGCGCTTTAGGACACGCCGAAGACGGTAACCTGTTCGTCTCTTTTCCTTCGTTGGCGAAGGGAGCGCGGGGGTCTCTTTGAGACAGTGCGGGGTGGGGCGGGAGGTAAGGTGTCTTCCCAGAAGGGACCCTAATTAAAGTGCAGCACTTCCGACCTTGAGTAACAATTTTGTGCAGGGGAGCGTGGAGCTGGAAGCGGGGAGGGGCCTTTGCACGGGGTGGGGACGGGGAGCCGGCGGGAGCCGTGAGATTGGGGAGCCTGAGGAGGGCACTGGTGGACAGGGGGCGGGGCCGATTCTTGATCTACTGAGGCCAAGCTGGGTCCGGGGCGGCCGAAAGCCTTTGCAGAGGGTGTAAAAGGCCGAGTCGCTATCTGCATTGCTCCTGCCAGAGTCGGTTCAAAAAGAGCTTCTGGAGGTCGCGTCTATGCGCCTCACCTTGACGCCCTGTTTATTTGGCTTCTGGAGGCCTAATAATATCAGCTTGTTTTAGAGTTAGTTAGACGTGATCGGATCCCGGAGCCCGCGTAGACTCGACCTTCTAACCCTGTTTCTTGTGGTTCCCCGGAAGTGGCGGGAAGAGCCCGCTTGGCTCCGGGGGAAGAAGGAGGGGGGATCGCAGAGCAACGTGCTACGCCTTTTCGGGTGCAAAGGCACCACGTGCGCACCCTGCCGGTCCTCGCCACGGAGAATGCCGCCCGCCGGAGCTGCCCGTGGTGAACCGGCTAGGCGGATGTAGTAGCTAAGCGAAGGCACCTCCGCAGCTCCCCTCTTTATTTAAGGAGAACCCCTACAGGCGAGGCCGCGTGGGGAGGCCAATTTTGTTGTCACTTCGCACAACCAGCGATTTCCAGGGCGGCGGCTGGTGGATGGCCCTCACCTGGGGGGATAGGTCTCTGGAAGAGGGTTTCATAAAAGGACTTAATACAGGGCGAAATTAATGTTGGGGGGGCACAAGTTCTGTACAAATAAATCAGGAAAAATGACTAGGGCGGGGAGGAGGCGCGTTATTCCTCCCGTGGGGGGGGGGGATCTCCACCGAGATCGTCCTTGCCCTTCTGGGTCTGTCGGAATCCAGACCCATACGGGAGTCGATAGCTCTGTGGATGCCCCGGCCGAACTCCAGGCGGCTCCGGAAGCCTCCAACCCCGAGGCCCGAGGCCCAGGCGGCCGGAAACCCGCGCGCCGCTCGCTGGAGAATCAGCAGTCCCGCCGGCCTGGCGGGTCCCCAGGAGTGGCTGAGATCTGCCGGGAGGGGGCGCGCGCGTCTTCTTAATCATCCGCGCACATGCTGGCAGCTGAATAAATCCCTAGATCCCCCATCTTTTGTTTGCTTTGAAATGATTATGAGCGAAAAATAGAAACCTCGGCCCAGTTAAGTCCCTGATAGCAGAATGGAGGAGTTAGAGCCCTGGGAGTCAGCGGGCCCCTCAGTCTCCCAGCTTCCACCCGAGCCATCTCTGGCTGTTGAGATGCTAATCCATCTTGTGTCCCGCCGGATGGGACCCAGCCCCTTAAGTCCTCCCCACGCCCCTATGTTGCATCCTTCCCACGCGCCCTATCTTTGCGCTGAAAGCTGCGAGGCCAGGTCCGCTTGCGTTGTCATGCAGTTTAGAGGGACGGAGAAGAACCTGCAGGAGGAAAAGTGTGGCTTCTCTCTCGAAGGACAACGTGGAAGGCGGAAAGCAGTGGCCTCTGAGCCGGGCATGGAAGGAAGACTGAAGCACGGAGTCGCAAGGACATTTTCAGTCACGGAATGGCCCCCTCCTCCCCTGCTCCATCCCTGCGGCCCCCCTTCCTTGCCCTCACCCCACACAGCCCCTTTTTCCTAAATAGATTTGAGTCTGAGCTGCTTCCGCCCTTTTTCCCAGGGAGAGAAGCCACGCCTGGATCAAACCCGAACACACTGGACCCCCTTGGCTGCGGTGGCGGCTCCAGGGCTCCCAGGACAGTGCATCTGAGCTGTGACCTCTGCCCACCACCACCTGCTCAGTGCAGACTTCAGGCCTGTGCACCCTAGGATCTCAGGGACCCCACCCTGCCAGGCTGCGGCAAGGCCCAGATCCCACCCAGTATGGGGCCCAGGTACAAGGCAGCAGGGGGAGACGACCAAAGGGCCTTCTCAGGGTGGGGGCTCGGCCAACAGCCAAGCTGCCCCTGGGGTTGGCACAATGGGTCTCAGTCCAGTGGACGCAGAAAGCAGAGGTGGAACCACTCCGTCCTCCACGCACCCAGGTTCAGGGTGTGCGGACTGAGCCGGACACTGGTGAAGAGGGCAAGTCTGAGGCCGCCGCTGAGGCATTGGTCACCGGGGGCTCCTCCACCTGGGGCCTGGGTCTTTAGGCTGATTTTTTTCCTCCCCAAAAGGGCCTGCAGCACCCCAAGAACTAAATACCTCCAGAAGTCACAGAAAGGCAAACAGGAAAGGGAAAAAAGACACCAGTAGTGTCGGAGCCATTTTCTGGTTTTGCCTCCTAGTGGGCTATACAGGCCCTCAGAGACTGGCCTGAGGGCAGGTTAGGCCACTGTGACCTGTAACCTGCTTGTGCCCCGGAGCCCAACCCACAAGGACACAAAAGAGCCATTTCCTGGGCTCCTGGATGCCCAGCGAACCCAACACCCAGCGTGCTTGGGCCAGAACCACTAGCGAAATTGCAATTACGACAATTACAATTACGCGGTGCAGGGAGGTTGTGGGCCAGGGATTTAGCTCAGCAGCCTAAGTGCCTGCCTGGCAAGTGCAAGGTTGAGTTAGATCCCCAGCATCAAAAAATAAAAAAGGAGTTTTGAGAGTTTGGGGATAAAGGAAGGAACATGGATTTACCCCAGCGTTTTCCCAAACTGCCCTGCTCTGGTCGATTTAGGAATGGGGGCTTCTGATTGCTGCGGACCCAGGGCTGGACAGAGTAAGGGGCCACGCACCCCGCTGGCACTGTCCGTCCTGCCCAGCTGTCATTTTAGAAGAATGCTTTGCCCCTTCTCCTGTCCCTGGAAGGGGAAGGGGCGGTGAAAGGGACCTGAAGGAAGCCGCCCTGCAAAGGGGTCTCCTTCCGAGTTTATTCAGCTTAATCCAGGAAAGCAGTGTCTAAAATGCTCTACCGAGCTCTACACAGAAAACAGAAGGCGAATTAGCACGCAGCTGGGCCTGGTTATCGCGATTAACGCCACGGAGCGGATGAAAGATGGACAGACCGATTCTCTGGGAGACTCAGCTCCCGGCCTCTCTCTGCTGGCACCGACAGGGTGCTCAAGTGCTCCTACGACAGCTGGGAGCCAGTGGCCCACCAGGGGTGTCAGCTCTGCAGTCTTTTGCCAGAGCCTGGCTCTGACAAGTTCCTGGTATCCCCAGGACACCCCCACTCTCCTGCCCCCCACCCAGCCAGCCAGGAGACCCCTCAAGGGGTAGCGCTCGTCTTGACCTTGGCCAGAACCTTCTTCTCCTTGACCCGGCGGTTCTGAAACCAGATGGTTATCTGGCGTTCCGAGAGGCTGGTGGCCGCCGAGATCTTGCGCCTCTTGTCCTTGGTGATGAATTTGTTGGCCGCATACTCGCGCTCCAGCTCGCGCAGCTGCCCCTTGCTGTAGGGAATGCGCTTCTTGCGGCCACGGCGGAAGGCACAGCCGTCAGACGGGTGCTGTACGCTGGACTCTGCGTGGCACAGAAACCGAGGAGGGAAAAGGCTCGCTCAGATCCCCAGGAGCAGACCCAGGCCCTCCGCCCCCACCAGCCCCGACGCTACGTCATCCTGCGGGCGCTGCCGAGCGCAGGTGTCCCCCAAGCACAGGGGGCGCTGGCCTCTGGCTGCCTCGCGATCCATCGATCATGATCGCCCAGGGCCGCTCAGCCTCGGCTCCCGCAGCACCCTCTCCCACCACTGCGCTCACACCCGGAGTCTCCACACGCAGGACCGCAGCCATCCACACTCACGCGCATTCTCAGGTTCTCCTGGCTCCTTCTGTGCAGGGGAAATGCGTTTCTGCACACACACATGCTCACGCACGCACACACGCATGAACACACACGCACTCACATGCAGGCACATTTGGCAGCAGGAAACCTACATTTTCTTTTGGAATCTGCAGATGGTCTAAGAGAAGATGAGGGGTCCTGCCTGTATACCTCCAGGCCCACACCCACACCCACCCTCAGGCACGCTTATATTTGTTACTTAGCGCTTGTATACAGCTGGGGCTGGGCAGGGACACCAGCCACGGCCAGGACAGGGCCGGAGCTGTCCGACATATTGAAAGGTTGGCCAGCACCCAGAGCAGACCTGCCGTTGACCCCCTAGGCCCTCAATCCAGGTCCTCTGGTGGCCTGGACCCTTATTCCAGTCCTAATTGGCAACCCAGGAGCACCAGGCTCCCCTCACCAGCCCCAAATCTTCCTCCCCCTCTTCCTCCTCCCGGGCAAGTGCCAGCGTAGCCGCCCTCAGAGCCAAGAGGACCCAAGGTGTGGAGATTACCTGCAAACGCAGCCTTCCAGAAGGGACCCGGTGGGTTCTGATCACCCTGGCAACACATCTGGCTGTTCCAGCCACTGGCCAGGGCCCAGGGCTGGTAACCATCCACTGGCAGCAGGGAGTCGTGGCGAGGCTCCCCAGGGGTGCCCAGGGTTTGCACCACTGACACGTCCAGGTAACTGGCCATGGGCTGGTAGGCTCCCGGGTAGCCTGGGTAGAAGGCAAACTCGGTGGGGCGGCTGGGATACTCCTCCCCAGCCGCAGGAGTGTCCGAGGGGTAGGCAGCCAGGGTGCCCGCCTGGGCACAGGGCTTCAGCGAGCTCCGCGATACCCGGCAGGAGTAGTACCCGCCTCCAAAGTAGCCATAAGGCACGGGAGCTGGGGACGCCCCCTGGGGCACCCCGGGACAAGGATGGCACTGCTTGGGTGGCTCCCCAGAGCCTGGCAGATCCAGAGGGGCATAGTTGACAGCGGGCATCAACGTAGGCGCCGCGGCGGCCGGGTGGCTGGCCAGCGGGGAGTGGGCTAACAGATTGCGCGCCCCTCCGGCTCCCAGCAAGCCTTCCATTTCCTTGGTGCCATCCAGGGTGGCATAATTGCCGGGCTCCATGAGGCCGAGGGTCGGCTCATGGGGCGCAGGGGGTGGAGGATCAAGGGGGCAGCCAGCTCGCTGTCCCCACCCAGGCCCGGGGAATCCAAAGCGTTTTAAATCGAGCCCAGCTAGCAGGGCGCCTGCATTTGCCTGGCCGGGCCGCCCGACGCAGGTCACGCAGGGCCCGGCCACGCGCGCTGATTGGCTGCGGCGGGGACAGCGGCTCATAAAACCCGGCTGCACCGCGGAGGGAGGCAGCGGCGAGGAGCCCGCCCCACCCCCGGGGCCTCCACTGCCTCTCTCTCCCTGGCGCTCTCTCCTGCCTTTGGCAGGTTTAACGAGAGAATAAAAAGCGCTCTCAGTAAAGTGTCCATCTCCTGGGGGGAGAACCCGGGAATGCGCCCCAGGAAGAAGTCGCTAGCGAATGGGGTGCCGGCATTACGGGGAGTCTTAGGCTTTGGGACCTAGGGAGTAGCAAGCGCCCCAGCTCCTTCCAGATGCCCCTGCTGACCCCCTGGCGCTGTACTGAGCACCTCTGGCGCCAGAGTGCCTGGGACACCCCTTCCCCAGGGAACTTGGCCACAGTCTTAAAGGATAGGAAGCCCCAATCCGGGGTGAGGCGGGAGTGAGGAAGGCAGGGGAACCCCACCCCACCCCACCTCACCCCCAGGAAAAAGTGCCATGCGGAGTCCGGGATGCGCAACGTCCGGGTCCTAAGGGGAAATGGAGCTTCTGCAAGTGGCCCCGGAAGGGGGGGTCTGGGTTTCCGTTTAAGGGTGGAGAGCAAGACACAGCAGGAGCCGAGAGGGAGGAAAATAGGGACCTAGGGGGCGGGGGGGGGGAGCGGAGCACAAGTTGGGCGGAAGCTGGAGGGAGGAGAGGGGACAGAATCTTATAACCTGCGGAGTGCCCGTCGGGAAGGAGTGTGAGGAAGCTGGGCCTGGCTAACTGACCTTGAGGCTGTGGGGTGCTGCCCCCACAACTGCAGGGCTCTAGGCTGGGGAAACCCCAGCCTCTCCACCCTTGCCCTTCTGCAGACCAGGAGCCCAGGACATTGTCCCAGCTGCCCGCGCCCAAGCCAGGAGCCCTGAAAACCCAAGACCCCATCTCTCTCCTCCAGACTCTAAGTCACCTTTGCAGGCGGGAGGCGTGGGGGGGCAGGGGAGAGGAGCCCCAACATTCCAGGATCGCGGGAGACCTCCCCAGGGGGCCTACTGTGCTGGACACTTCCCCAGACGCCGCTTATTCCCCATCCTCTTTGGAGACACTGTTGCCTCACTGCCCCTCCCAAAGCAAGGCTTCCGTGCTCCTCCGGAGCCCTCAGTTTTTCTGGGTAGAGAGGCGGGAAAGTTTCCGTTCTTGGAACAGACCACCCTGAGCTCCGGATGGGCTCGGCCATTTGGCTATGTCCCGAACACCACCCTGAAGCCATGGGGGAAGAGAGTCCCTGCGTCGCAGGGCTGGCATCTGCTGCGCACCTCGCTCTTGGTGAGCACAGCTAATAAACAGCATGGAAGGAACTCGGTGCAGGGGCTCATGCTTGAAATCCCAGGTATTCCAGGCGGCTGAGGCAGGAGAATTATCAAGTTCATCCCAGCATGGGTAACTCAGTGGTAGCGCACTTACCTAGCGTGTGAAGCTCTGGGCTCCATCCCAGCCTAAAATGAAAGGAGGGAAGGGGGAAAGAAGAAAGAGGTTCACTGTTTTTTATCTGGTAAGTGCTGGATTCCTAGGACACCACCTCACTTTTAACTTGAGCTCAGCAAACACATACATAAGTATACAGATGCGTGTTGCAGTGGGATTTCTGTGAGCAAGTTATTCACAGCTGTACAGTTCAGGCATGGAGACAGCCCTAAATTTTAAAAAATAATCACAATCACACGCTAAAAACACATTCCTGGGCATAAACCCAAAAGACATGAAAATTTATGTCCACCAGCAGGGGTGTTCCAGTGCTTGCACTGGCGACACACACCCTAAAACTGGACGGATGTGGAGGTTTGCCTGGTCCCTGCTTAAGAATGAGAAGCAAATGTGTGAAGTTTTTCACAGTAAAGGGGGGGGGGATTCAGTCCTGGGGACTGGAAAAAGAAAGAAAGGAAGAAAGGAGAGGAGGAAAAGAGGGAGGAGTAGCAGCAAGTGCTAGAAATTTCTATAATATTCGTGACAGTGCTGTCTACAAGGTCTTAACGGGAAAAAATGGCATCCACAGGAGGACGGGCGAGAAATCCAGCTGTCGGGACGCCCCAGGGGTTGCTTGGGCAGCGCCTGCCTGAGTGAAAGAGGCTCTGGGCTTGATTCTCAGTAACCAAAAAAAGAGAAACAAGACAGGCTGTAAACTGTGGAGCACGACCCAGGGACCAAAAAGAGCAAACCTCTGCTGGACACTGCTGGACACAGACACAGGAGGGAAAGAAGCCAGGCCCGGAGGGTGACTTTCCAATGATTCCATTTTGTGAGGTTCAAGAGCCTGAAAGATTAGCACACAGTGATACACCGGATGTGGTGCCCCAGGGCTCAAGTTCAAGTCCTGCCTGCGCTGCGGAGTCCCTTCTCAAAAATCCAAAATCAAGAAAAGAGAAACAAAGGAAAAAGTGGAAATTACCCTCGGGAGAGCTGGGCATGGTGGCACACACCTGTAATCCCGGCTACTCGGGAAGCTGAGGCAGGAGGATCAAAATTTTGAGACCTGCCTGAGTAGGTTATTTATTTATGCATTTATTTATTTTAGGCAGGGTCTCACTATAGCCCAAGCTGGCCTGGAACTCATGGTGATGCTCCTGCCTCAGCCTCATGGGCAATTTAAAGAGACATCCTCTCTCCAAAAAAAGAAAAAGGAGGAGGAAGAGGAGAAAAAGAGGAGAAAGAAGAGGAAAAAGGAGAAGGAGGACTGGGTGGGGATGTTGGCTCAGTGGTAGAGCTTCTGTGAGCACCATCCTGAGAAGGGGGGGGGGGAGAGAAATGAAAACCAAGAAGGGGAGAAAGCAAGGACACCTCAAGCTGCAGTCTCGGGATTTTTGCTCTCCTCTGGACGGGAGTAGTATCTCAATTGTAAAGGTAAATTAATGAAAAACTCAGAAAAATTCACAACAGCAGGGCCAGCGTGCAGCTCAGTGGCAGAGCCCTTGCCTAGCATGCCTGAGGCCCTGGGTTCCAGCCTCAAACCCACAAAATATCATTTTCTAAACATTCAGGGGGGCTGGGGATTTAGCTCAGCAGCGTAAGCACCTGCCTTGCAAGCAGGCAGTCATGAGTTCCATCCCCGGTACTGATAAAAACGAAAAAGACAAAAAAATAAAAAATAAACATTCAGAGCAGCATTGCCTGCAACTTTTTTTTTTTTTTTTTTTTTGAAGATTCAGTGTCAGAAGCCTCACCAGTGGAGACAAGCAGCCCAGGTCACTCTGCGGGGTGGCTGAATACAGAAGGGGTCCATTTAAAACTTCGCCCCCCAGAGAATCTCATCCTGAAGGGCTGGAGGACCCCCTCCCAGATTCCATTTCAATGCTAATGCCAAGTTTGTTTTGTTTTCCTGACTCTACAATTTATTCAGCACCTACTAGATCCCAGGGAGCAGATCTGGAGCCCACATTTACTTAGCACCCCAGCCTGCATCCTTACTTCCTGTCTGTTTGTGTGTGTCCACAGCCCTCGGGGCGGATCGGAGGTCTCAGGTGGCATCAAGGGACCATTTTCCCCCTCAGGAATGCCGTGACAGTGTCTATGAAAGCATTTCATAAATCCAAGACCTGTGGGTCTACGGTCCGGAAAGGACACTTGTCATCGAGAGCACTGGTCACTTTTCCTTGTAGAAGGGTGAGCTTGAGTTTAAGAATACTGAGGCTCTGATCGAGAGTCCCAGTACCCCCTGGAGGGAGAGGCTCCCTGTGTGGAGTTCAGCCCTGAATCCCTGCACAACCCAGGTGTCCCAGGTCCCCCAGCCAGCCGGGCCTGCTCCTCCCCCAGCCCACTGAGTCCTTTGTGTCCCGCTGGGCCCCTCCTGGCAGGGCCACCGGGAGGAGCCCGGCCCCTGCAGCCCCTTTACAGACCCAGCCAAGGCGCTGGAAGCCTCAGCCCGCTCCTTTACATACGCGCCAGACACTCGGCAGCTCAAGGCCAAGTTGAAAGTTAAGAGCGTGTTTACCTCCGGGCGCCCGTGCAGCCGGCCGCACTCCGCCGCTGACCTTTACAGCCTGGCTTTGAGCGTGGCCGCCGCGCCCCAGGGGTTCCGGCCGTGGAGACTTGGCACCTCGGTGTCACCTCCGGGCCCACCGGCCAGGGGGAGGTGGAGGGGAGTCGCCTACCCAGCCCACTGGGGGACTTTTGCTAACTTGGGGTTTTACTGGTTTTGCGGTTGTTCTTGCTTTTGCTAAGTGAGGGCCTGCGGCCTGGGGCTGAGGGTTTATTCTTTGCAGCGGGGTCGTCTCCTTCCCAAAAGTCGTGAAGAGCTGGGGCCGCTGTCCCTGCCCCGGTGGCCTGGCTGCTCCAGGCTCCTGGTCGGCCTGAGCGGCGCGGCTTCTTTCTCCCTTCCTCCGTCCTCCGCGCGGTGTCTGTCTCTGTCTGTCTCTCTGTCTCTCTCTGTGTCCCCCCCCCCCATCTCCATTTTAGCCTCCTGGCTCTTTCTTTTCCCTTTTATATTTGTGTTTCATTTCCCCCTGGATTTCAGTCACCCTGTTTTGGTCTGCCCCTTCTGGGTCTCTTCCTTTTATCTCCTCTGTCTGTCTGTCGCTGACTTTCTGGCCTCTCCTGTTAAAAGGTTTTCCTCGTCGCCATTTTTCCTTTGCTTCCCCCCTCACCCGCTGCATTATTTTTGTCTTCGCTTTTGTGTCCCTTCCCTTCTCCTCTCTCCCTGTCTCTAGCTGCTGCCCCTGTTCCCCCCGACCCACACCTTCCTCCTGGGCCCTGGCGCACTGGCACTGTCGCATTGCTTGTTCTTCCTGTCTGGACGGGTCAGGCTGGCCCTGGGGCAGAGCTCGTGTGGCTAGGGACCTGGGTGACCAGGACTCAGAAAGAAGTCAGGCTGGACTGTCGGCACCGGCACTGGCACCGGCGGGGAGAATCCTTCGGGGGATCTGATCGGCCGGGCAGGAGAGCTGGGAAGGTGCAGAGGACAGAGGACCAGGCCCTGGCAGCCCTGGACCCCTCGGGATCCGACCCTCTCAGGATAAATGTAAGTGTCCAGAGCTGTCCAGGCACCTGGAGTCCAACCTGGGAAGCCAGGAGCGGGATCCGGAGCAGATGGATGGGGGAA